GTGGCTTCGGTGACACCTGAGGTTGTTACTGGCCCTTGCAAAGCCCATCCAAAGCTGCTTTCTACAGCTACCAGCGATTCTGTTATCCTCTGGACCTTGCCTGTCACCACTCTCCAGTAATAGTCTGCTCCTATTAACACAGACAGTTCTGGATCATCAGCGCCTTCCAGTGGAAAATCAGCAAGCTGCAGATCCTTTTTCTTTAATTCGTTTTGGATTGGTTCGCCTGGCACTTTTATCACAGCACTGCACACTTGAGGGGTTTCCACTGCTTCGATCTCTATTCCTTTCTGTGAATTCCACACATTTTTTAGGGACACTTTCACAACGTTGCGCTGTACTATTATTGGAGAGGTGGCTCCAAAAGTGTGAAGATGTAGCGTCTCCTGCCTTACCACTGGTAGTCTTAGTGCTTTAATTACATTCTCATGAACGAAGCTTCTCTGGCTGCCTCCATCCGACAGACAGCGTATGACTTTCCTCCCTGCTGGGCCCTCTGTCCACGCCTTGACTGTCTGGAGCAGCACTGTGTTCTGGACATTAGCTCTCAGTTTAACTGTGCTTGACACAGCGGATAACACAGCATCCGTACTTCCACTGTCGGTATCTGGTTTAGCTTAACTTTGATCACAAACTGACTGGTGATGTCTGTGACTACACAAGGCACATGAAACACCCTTGACTTTGCAGAATTTTGCTATGTGTTTTGGGCCAAGGCACACATAGCATCTTCCCAGTTTTCGCAGTTTATCTTTGCGAGCAGCAACACAATTGTCTGGACAATGTTCTGGTTTATGGTTGGCACTGTCACAATATACACATGTCTGGTAGTTATTACTTGCTGTGTGCAATGCAGTCGCTGATGGCACATTTCAACTTTTAGGTTTGTTTTCAGTAAGGGTGTGTGGCTTACCAGTTCTGATATTTGGCAGAAAGTCCTTTTTAGTGTTACCCGGTCTGGTGAGCTGAAGGGCTCTCTCTGCTCTGGACTTCATTCTGAAGAAACAGGATGAGTTCAGGTATTCTCCATTCACCACTGGAGTCTGAAATGCGTGTATAGTCTAATGCTATGTCTTCAGGTATGAGCTGTAGTAGAACTGGGCATAGCAGGCAGCCATATGTGTCACTGTGTACCCCTAAGGATTCTAGACTCCGAATTTGTATTTCACATTCATCGTACAGTTGTCTGAGAGCTGCAACATCCGATTTTCTCACAGGAGTCAAGTTTAGCAATTTGGACATGTCTGCACTTACTACAATGTATTTTCTTCCAAAGCGGTTCTGAAGCAATTGTATTGCTGCTGCATCATAATTATCATCTGTCATGGCTAGTCCTGCCACAGCTCTTGCTGCTGCTCCAGTCACATAGGATCTCAGGTAAGTGAACTTCTCCCTCTTACACAGTGCATCGTTGTCATGAATAGCCGTTTCATATTGGGACCAGAATTCTTGCCACTGGCTTATTTCTCCACCGTATTTTTCTATTACTAACTTGGGCAGTTTAACAGTCTGTTTATGCAGTAATCTGACTGAAGGTGCACTCACATCGCTCACCCGCACAGTCACAGAGTCCCGCGCCTTCTGAATGTATCTGGTGGCCCGGGATTTCCATGTGATAATGCGGTCCTGGTATTCCTGAGTGTTTTCAATCTCTTCCTCCAGATCGTCCGTCGGCGTTTCATCCTCAATGCTTTTGTCTAAGTCTAATAAACTTTCTTCCTTGTTCGACAATAACGTCAGCATTTCACGGAGTCTATCAGAGTTTGGTTCATCTTTGCTCACCTCCTCTTCTATAAGAGTAATCAGCTTCGTTGTTGAGGCTCGTATTGTTCCCCGCTTCCGTCTCATCCGTTCGTAGCGCTCAGTCATTTCAACAGCTAGCATTAGCCAGTTAGCTTCCAAACTACGACACAGTTCAAAGTCTTAAAAGTCTTGAGAATCCCGGGTTTCGGCACCAAAATGTTGTGTAATAGAAGCTTCGAATGAAGAACCAAGCGCAGTCTATTTCAAACTGAACCTTTACTTTATATTACTTAAACAGTTTCCAAAAAGAACGGTGGAAGACACAGAAAATGCACTCGACATGCTCGTATTCAATTGTTCATAACAACAGGAAGCAGTCAGAGGAAGAGACATACTTGCACTTCAAATTAAAAGCATTTCTTGTGAAACGTACCTTTTAACTTATATCAAGAAATCAAATAATCAAATGTTTTACTGCCTTAAATAAAACAAGTTACAACAGCATTGACCCGAAGACACATTTTAATTCCTAGCTTTCTGATGATATCAGGATTGTTTTTGTACTCCAAATATTAAGCAAAATATGTCACATTATATAATGACTGTTACAGTCATCATTTTGAGCAAAAGGCCTTCAAAGTTTCCTCTTCTCTGGATCGATCTGATTGATTATTAGCGGAGCAAATGATCAAAATACTACTGAGGGAAGATATTTTCGTTTGGATTACTGGTCTGGGGGAAGCCCGCGAGTGTGCGTGTGTATAGGCCCAGGGCTTCTCAAACTCCGGACCAAGGTCCGGATCCGGACCGAACTGCAAATCAATCCAGACCAAACCCCATTATAAAAAAATAATAATAATAATTTTAAAAAAATCTGATTCTGATGTAAATTAAAGTGGACCTATTATGTATGGTGGCCGGCAGGTGCAAACGCTAAACAACGGCCAAAAACACACACATAAGCAGGAAACACCTGCAAATAATGAAATGAAAAACCAACAAACCCTGAAAACACATACAACAGAAAAACGCTGCATTTACAGAACTGATGCAAGCTAAACCTACAACAGACAAACCCTGAAAACAAACGCAACAGAAAAACGCTGCAAATACAAAAACGATATGCAAAGTCAAAAGCACATTCAACCGAAAAACACATTACAAAAAAAAAGACATTACAAAAAAAAAACATTCCGGAAGTGCTTCAGGCCTCTAGGGGGCGCGCTACGTGGAACAGATTGATGTATGACCAGACATAGAGAGAACGAACAAGCGGAAAGAAAGTTCATTTAAGTGGAGAAAGATATAAGAAGGTACGTTTTGTTTTGTTTTTATTAGGGCCCGGGACTCGATTAAAAAAATTAATCTAATTAATTAGAGGCTTTGTAATGAATTAATCGAAATTAATCGCATTTTTAATCACATATACATATTTGACCTAAGAACAGTGAGAAGCAATTTCACATGGATTTTAGTATACCTATAGGCGCATTCACACTGCGGTACTTTTCCCACAAAGGTTCATGAGAATTTAGTTCGTGAGAACTCATACCTGGGGGAGGATTACGGTGTGTCCACACAGCAGCTTTGACCAAATCTTGAAAATCCTGGAGCTGGGCGTGTCTGACAGCTTGGGGATTTCGTGACCAACAACCAATCACATGAATATCACATGAATATCCCGCCCCCGACATACAAAGCAAAAAAACCCGGTTCTTCTACACTATTGTCAAATAGGAAGGGCTATGATGAACATTTATTTTTTTAACATTTTGAACATTTATGAGATTAATGTTTATGGTGCTATTTTATGCTACATTCCATGTTGGCTAATGATACTGTCTATGCTTGCTAGCAACGAAGTAAACTAGCAACGAAGTAAACTGGATATAAAATCCCCAAACGAGCGAAAACCTACCAGTTTCCCCCACAGCCTCTGCCACCTCCCCCCATGCCTGGTTCCTCCGGTTTGTATCCCGGTAAGTAAATAGGGACTGGTCATAAAGAACCGGGTGATTTGCTACCGCAATAACTAAGTTCTCCTCCATTTTTGTGGAATATAGAAATGAACTGCGGGTTTCGTTCTCCCAGCTTGCACGCGGTTTGATTGGCTAGCGCTTGAACTGTCAGATTTGCATAAACGGATCTGATTGGCTGTCGCTTCCAGCTCAGCCTCAAAAGTTGAACAATGTTCAACTTTGGAATCCTGAACATCCTGGAAATCCTGGAAATCTTCGCCTCGCCCCCCCACAATGCAGTTCGGCGACAAGCGAGGGAAAGTGACGTCATCCCCATTCAAAGTCAATGGGCGGAGACGCGCTGGAAGCGGTGGACAAATCGCCAAAAGCCGCTGACGTCACTTCTTCTTCTGCTTTGGGTTTACTGGCAGGCCGCAAACCACTTCACGGCGTATACTGCCGCCCAAAGTCCCCGGCCGGAAGTCCCCGGAGTTGGGGACTGGCTTCAGTAGAAGCTGCTGGGAGTCCCAGCAGCCTTCCGAGTAAATCGCCAGAACGCCGACACCTCCTCATCTCCACCGCTCCCATGTTTTATTTTGTGTTGCCATAAGTTAGTCTCTCTGCGTTTCTGCGCTGGGCTAATGCTAATAATGCTAATGCGAGGATAATAAAATGGCGGCTTCACAACACTTTTTGGGAGTTTTACGGGGCGTGGTTGGCAATCCGCCCAGCCAATCAGAAATATAGCTCTTTTCTCACAAGAGAGCCGTACGAAAGTCCCTGCTCTCTAGCAGCTCTCTGCTCTCTATCAGGGACTTTCGTGGGGGTAAAAAGGTTCTCATGAACTAATTTTAGTACCGGCTCTTTTTGGTGTGAACGCGATAAAAGAGGCTAACGTCCACGCTAGCTGCTATATGTTTTGCATTGAGGTGATACTTGAGAGTTGATGTGCTGCGGTGATATGCAAATTCCTTTTTGCATAATTTGCACACAACCATGCTCTTATCGACGCTTCCATCCGTCCGTTTTTTAAAACAACATTTCCCACTGTTGTTCACTGTGGTTTGTTGTTGTCTGAAGTCATGAACGTTAGTTGGTGCTCCAGTATAATCGGTACGCCTGAAACTCATCCAGTGAGAAACGTTCCGCGGTGCAAAAATAAGTGCGATTAAAATGCGTTAATTTTTTTAACGTGTTAATTTTTGTGTAATTAATTCATCTTAATTAACGCGTTAAAGTCCCGGCCCTAGTTTTTATACATAGAGCGTCATATTTACGTAGCTAGCGTTAGCGTGTTTGATCAAAGAGCTTGCAAGAGCCATTGTGCACCTAAATGTAACTCTTGACATAATATAGATATAATATAGATATAGTATAGAACCGGGACGCCCTACACGCAGATCACACAGACTGGGTGGGGTCTCACGCCCTCACCTCGTGGAGGGGGCCTCAACTGAGCCGCAAATGCGATGCAGTGATAAAAAGGAAATCAAATGTAAAAAGTTAAATTAAAATATTAAAACAGCAACACAACATTATTCTCATATTAAAAGACAGTCTGAAGAGGTGTGTTTTGAAGGTGGGGGGGTCGGTGCAGTCTCTGATGTTTAATGGGAGTGAGTTCCAGAGGGAGGGGGCAGCGATGGAGAAAGCTCTGTCCCCCCAGGTTCGGTGCTTGGTTTGTGGGGGGATAGACAGGAGGTTGGCTTCTGATGAGTTAATTGAAAGACCGTTCTTTAATACTATTATAATATTTAGGTAGCCGAAAAATATCCACTCTTTTTGACTTAACCTAGCTGTCCTACATTTTATTTCTCTACAGATGTACTGTCCATTATGTGGTTCCAGCGTGACATCTTCGCATGGCTTTTGTGGTGTCTGTGGCAGAGACATCACATTTCTAAAAGATGTGACTAACAAAGTCCCTGAGGAGATGCCCACCACTAGTGTGCATCTAAGTGCACAGCCTAGCACCAGTGCAGGTAAATAGGTTGTTCGTTTTATTACCAAACAATAAGTATTTATAGAAAACTTGGTTTAAAAGTTCGAATTCTGTTATTATACAAATACATCTCTAAACTATGTGGCTTACCTACTGTTGAATGTGTTATAAGATGTTCCTCAGAAGGGATTGAGGATGAGACTCCTATTGAACATAATGAAGAGTAATGAATGTTTTATTCCTGTTTTTTTGTAGCAGGAAGCTCAGCTGTAGAGTCCTTTCAGAAATATAGGGAAATAAAAAAGAGGGAGAGACCTTTTTTACGAAGGGACGGCATAACTCCAAAAATAAACAGAAATTGGTGAAGGTATGCAACGTTTTCTATTATGAATACATCTGTCATTCAAATCTGCTCACCACACTCTCATATAATGTCCGAAAAAACGTTTTATTCATTTGCATATTATTGTCTTTTTGCAGATTTCTGTTGGAGTAATGAGGAGGATGGATGGCTGCCTTAAACCTGTGAGAGGGAGGTCACTTCCCCTTAATGTTGAACCTCAATGGGCATGTGAAGAACTGTTGGCTGCTGCCATAAAAAAGCAGAAAGCCTTTAACCAGGACTTGGAAGATGGTGCCCATGTCTTGTTGTACCCTGATGCGAGGGTGATAACAAATATCCCCGGAACGGACACCCCTTTCACAGTACAGATGTACAATGAGGCCATTGGAAAGCCCTACCAACGAATTATGTTGTACATCTGTACTCTTGAAGCCGTTGAAAACAGTTGTAAGTGCTTCTGACATATATTCCCCCTTGTTTAAAGCACTAAACTGTATAATAATTCAAATGTAAACATAACAGTTGTTCTGTCTATATTTCTTAACACAATTCATTCCACCCATCATTCCTTTCTCTTCGTGGTTGAGCTTATGACGTCAAATGGTCTTTTATGAATAGTGGCAGATGAAATGGAATTTAAGTATCAACAAAAGCTTCCAAACTTTCCTTCTGTTCAAAATAAATATAAATTCCCTCTTAAGGATTGTAATTCTAAATTAACCTTTTTTCTCACAACAATGTTGGTTTGTTGTGCCCTAAATCCTAATGTGAGAGTGAAAAGGACGGTCAACAATATAATGTACATTTCACAAACATTTTGTGTTTCGATTGAATCCTTTCTGATTGATGTCAATCCAATAATTCAGGATTCAAACCAACATTTGATGATAGGTACAGACGTAGGGGAACAATTATTTGTATAGTATTAATCATCCATCCATCCATCTTCTCCCGCTTATCCGTGGTTGGGTCGCGGGGGTAGCAGTTCCAGCAGAGAGCCCCAAACTTTCTTTTCCCTGGCGACATCAACCAGCTCTGACTGGGGGATCCCAAGGCGCTCCCAGGCCAGCGAAGAGATATAATCCCTCCACCTGGTCCTAGGTCTACCCCTTGGTCTCTTCCCAGCTGGACGTGCCTGGAACACCTCCCTAGGGAGGCGCCCAGGTGGCATCCTAACTAGGTGCCCGAACCACCTCAACTGGCTCCTTTCGACGCGAAGGAGGAGCGGCTCAACTCCGAGTCCCTCCCTGATGACCGAACTTCTCACCTTATCCCTAAGGGAGACACCAGCCACCCTGCGGAGAAAACCCATCTCGGCCGCTTGTATCCGCGATCTCGTTCTTTCGGTCATGACCCATCCTTCATGACCATAGGTGAGGGTAGGAACGAAAATGGCCCGGTAGACAGAGAGCTTTGCCTTCTGGCTCAGCTCCCTTTTCGTCACAACGGTGCGGTAAAGCGACTGCAGTACCGCTCCCGCTGCTCCGATTCTCCGGCCCATCTCACGCTCCATTGTTCCCTCACTCGAGAACAAGACCCCGAGATACTTGAACTCCTTCACTTGGGGTAAGGACTCATTCCCTACTTGAAGTGGACAGTCCATCGGTTTCATGCTGAGAACCATGGCCTCAGATTTGGAGGTGCTGATCCTCATCCCAGCCGCTTCACACTCGGTTGCGAACCGATCCAGTGAGTGCTGAAGGTCGCAGACCGATGAAGCCATTAGAACCACATCATCTGCAAAAAGCAGTGGTGCAATCCTTAGTCCACCGAACTGCAGACCCCCTCCCCCACGACTACGCCTCGATATCCGATCCATGTATATTACAAACAGGATTGGTGACAAAGCGCAGCCCTGGCGGAGGCCAACCCTCACCGGAAATGTGTCCGACTTACTGCCGAGGACCCGGACACAGCTCTCGCTTTGGGAGTACAGAGATTGGATGGCCCTGAGTAGAGACCCCCTCACCCCATACTCCCGCAGCACCTCCCACAGTAACTCCCTGGGAACTCGGTCATACGCCTTCTCCAAGTCTACAAAACACATGTAGACCGGATAAGCATACTCCCAGGCCCCCTCCAGGATCCTTGCGAGAGTAAAAAGCTGATCCGTCGTTCCACGACCAGGACGGAATCCGCATTGTTCCTCCTCAATCTGAGGTTCGACAATCGGCCTGACCCTCCTTTCGAGTACCTTAGAGTAAACTTTCCCGGGGAGGCTGAGTAGTGTGATGCCTCTGTAATTGGCACACACCCTCTGATCCCCCTTTTTAAAAAGGGGAACCACCACCCCGCCACTCCTTCGGTACTGTTTCCGACTTCCACGCAACGTTGATGAGACGTGTCAACCATGACAGTCCCTCAACACCCAGAGCCTTCAGCATTTCCGGGCGGATCTCATCCACCCCCGGGGCTTTGCCACTGTGGAGTTGTTTGACGACCTCAGTGACCTCCCCCCGGGAGATTGGTGTTGATCCCCCGTCATACTCCAGCTCTGCCTCTAACATAGAGGGCGGAGTTGTCGGGTTCAGGAGTTCCTCAAAGTGTTCCTTCCAACACCCTAACACTCCATCAGTTGAGGTCAACAACGTCCCATCCTTACTGTACACAGCTTGGATGGTTCCCTGCTTCCCCCTCCTGAGGTGTCGGACAGTTTTCCAGAACAACTTTGGTGCCGCCCGAAAGTCCTTCTCCATGTCTTCTCCGAACTTCTCCCACACCCGCTGCTTTGCCTCGGCCACGGATGAGGCTGCTGCCCTTCGGGCCTGTCGGTACCTTGCAACTGCCTCGGGAGTCCCCCGGGATAACAAATCCCTGAAGGCCTCCTTCTTCAGTCGGACGGCTTCCCTGACCACCGGTGTCCACCAGGAGGTTCGAGGGTTACCGCCCCTTGAGGCACCTAGGACCTTGAGACCACAGCTCCCCGCCGCGGCTTCGGCAATAGAGGCTTTGAACACCGACCACTCTGGTTCAATGTCCCCAACCTCCACAGGAATGCCCGAAAAGCTCCGCCGGAGGTGTGAGTTGAAGGCCTCCTGAACTTGGGCCTCCTCCAGACGTTCCCAGTTCACCCGAACTACACGTTTGGGCTTACCAGGTCTATCCAGAGGCTTCCCCCGCCACTCGACCCAACTCACCACCAGATGGTGATCAGTTGACAACTCCGCCCCTCTCTTTACCCGAGTGTCCAAAACATACGGCCTCAGGTCCGATGATACGATAACGAAATCGATCATGGACCTTCTGCCTAGGGTGCTCTGGTACCACGTACACTTATGAGCATCCTTATGTTCGAACATGGTGTTTGTTATGGCCAATCCATGACTAGCACAGAAGTCCAGTAACAAAGCACCACTCCGGTTCAGATCAGGGGGGCCGTTCCTCCCAATCACGCCTCTCCAAGTGTCTCCATCATTGCCCACATGTGCGTTGAAGTCTCCCAGCAAGATTAAAGAGTCCCCTTCAGGAGCCCCATACAGGACTCTTTCCAGGGTCTCCAAGAAGGCCGTATACTCTGAACTGCTGTTGGGTGCATAAGCACACACAACAGTCAGAGTTTTCCCCCCCATAACCCGCAGGCGTAGGGAGGCGACCCTCTCGTCCACTGGGGTAAACTCCAACAACGAAGCACCTAACCGGGGACTTGTGAGTATCCCCACACCCGCCCGGCGCCTCACACCTTGAGCAACTCCGGAGAAGAATAGAGTCCAACCCCTATCCAGAAGTAAGGTTCCAGAGCCGACGCTGTGCGTAGAGGTGAGCCCAACCAGATCCAACTGGTAACGCTCCACCTCCCGCACAAGCTCCGGCTCCTTCCCCCCCCGAGAGGTGACGTTCCACGTCCCCAAAGCCAGCTTCTGTCGCCCGGGTCTGGTCCGTCGAGACCCTCCGCTTTCACTGCCACCCTTCTGGCAGCGCACCCGACCCCATCGATGTTTCCCGTAGGTGGTGGGCCCGCGGGACGGAGAAGCGGAGGTGTTGCCCACGTTGCCTTTTCGGGCTGGGCCCGGCCGGGCTCCGTGGCAAGCCCGGCCACCAGACGCTCGCCGACGAGTCCTCCTTCTGGGCCTGGCTCCAGAAGGGGACCCCGGGCTTCCTCCGGGCCGGGTATCCTCACTTCTTGTGTCGTCTTTCATGAGGTCTTTTGAAAAAATCATATTAATCATGACACTTTTATTTTCTTAGGTTACACTGGAACAACCTCTTCAAGTGACGAGGACAGTGTGGTTGTTGCAAAGTTGCCATCTGGAGACAGTCTTGCTGACACCGTGGTCAGTTTGGATCTATCGTGGCATTTATTCTTAATTAAAGTGAATTTATTTTATTTCAGTCAGTCATTTGTGTGTTGTATGCAGGTGTGGGACTTTCCAAATGAACAGAGCACTCCCAGAATGGACAACAGTTTGCCAGGGTCAAATAAAACATTGTCAACATGTTATTTTGTGCCACAAGAAGCAGAATGTTTTAACAGTACAGTAGTTTGAATATATTTTTTGTTTACCTTTATCAGACCTCTCAGGCACCCACAACCAGCGTCTGATCGGGTAAGACTAATTACAAATGTAATTATACCATGTAGGTTTGAATTTGTGAACATGAAATCAATAAATACCTTTGTGTGCTAATGACACTGTCATTAGATAAACTGCATCATTATTTATTGGGTAAAAGTAGGATGGAGAACCAACCCCATTCCAGGAAGAGGTCCAGTCTGCCCCGGGTCAGAACACCTTCTATAGGTAAACGATGTTGACAGTTGCATCGTGACACAGTTGTTTGGTATGTATTTTTATTTGTATATTTGGTTGTTTGCATAGCCTCCAATCACAGTGGGTAATATTGCCAGGAAGCAGAACAATTATACTTTCATACATTTCTAAAGGACACCCACAACATCTGACATCTTAGTGAAGACGATACAAAAAACACCCACAAATATTTTTCAAAGGTCAGATATTGTTTGTTGCATCCATTTCAAATGTTTACAAGGTTTGTGCAGGAGTATGACAAATTGCTGTTGTCAGTTTAGAACCCAATGTATTAAAAAAAAAACAGGAAGAGGATCGACATCCTTTTGCAAATATGACTGTCATGCATATATTATGTATTTGAAAGTAATTATTCAACTGTCTTCTCACTGCAGCAACTACACAACTGTGTATGCACTTATCATTATTGACAGCCAGTCTGAGCCAGAAGAGGAAACGGAGCAAACTGCAGAGGAAATGTATTAAATGTTACTTTTATCACTTGATTTTTTTATTCTATACTGTAAATCTTATTACTAGCTTCATCATTTAATATTACAATACATCACTTTGTCTTTCCCAGCACAGAATACCTGACTGAGCCAGACATTGTTGCAGAACTCTCTGCAAAAATTAAAAATACCTCTTGCAGCAGGTTCAATATTAATAGAGCCAATGTGTGGGATGGAGCAATCCGCGGCTTCAAAGGGGCCTCATTCGACCGCTCTCATCAGATGCAGGTTAAGTTTACTGATGATGAGGGACAAACTGAGGATGGAGTGGACACTGGTGGTCCCAAGCGTGAGTTCCTGACCCTCCTAATGGAATGCCTGAGAATGAGAAGAATATTTGATGGTCCACAGGACAGGAAATTCCTCAAGTTCAACAATGCAGGTAATGATGTTCGCAAATCTGTCTTATGTTCAATACTGTACTGTAAATATAGGAGCTGCTTATGGATTTTTCAGCTTGATTTACGTGACAATTACATTATCTTATACTGTATATCTTTATGATAACGTGGCAACTGTTGGTTAACGTGATAATAATTTAACAAAAAATATCAACAGCTGCAAAAGATGACGAATACTTTCATGCTGGGAGGATGATTGCAACTTCTATAGTTCAAAAACACAAGGAGAAAAAGAAGAAAACATCATGTCATGGCTCACTGTCTCAAAATCTGATTCTAAATGTATAATGTTCTTTATAAAGATATAACTAATACACAATTATGAATGTATAATATAAGCTGTTTTGTGTATTTAATCATGCGTTGGTCTACAATTTAATGATGGCTTCTACATATTTCACATAAACAGACAATGAAAAAATGTGTCCTTCATGCTGATAACTAGTGTGTGCATCTGCAATTAGTATTCTAAACAGAGTAGTGTGTTGAATCCTTATTTCTTGCATTTGAAACAGATACAATAAAAAAAGTGAACTTACTGTTGTGTTCAACTTCTGCCAAAAACTGTACATGTTTGCCACAGGAGCCACAGAACACTTGAACTGTCCCCAGATGTTGGCCACAGTAAGGACAAAACATGGCAGCCTGAAAAGACATACATTGATGTAGTAAATCCATGTAATCAAGTCAATCAAAAACACATAGTCTAAATAGTGGTTAGCTAAATAAATAGATACATCATGTTCACCGTTGAATCTGTGATTTGTCTCTCTCTCTCCTTGAATGTCTAATGCACACTACTATCCTGTCATTACTTTGTCCCTCTTCACATTTTGTCACTTTCTCTCTCTCTTTCTCTCTCAATTCAATTCAATAGCTTTATTAGCATGACCATAGTTACAGGCAATTGCTAAAGCTCTGTATAGTTGCAACATCTATACACAAATACATAAATATAAACAAACTGCTAAGAATTCAAATGTCCTTTTTCCGCGGTACTCACTATGGCCCGTGTTATTTGCCTGCACTTGATTTGTCATCTCTTTACAATGTTCTTCCCTCACTTTATCTTCTCTTCACGTGAAGCTCTCCTCCCTCAGCTGGTGTAGTAGTTAGGCACGCTAACTATATAAATATGACGCTCTATGTATCAAAAAACAAAACAAAACTTACCTTCTTATATCTTTCTCCACTTAAATTAACTTTATTTCCTCTTGTTCGTTCTCTCTATGTCTGGTCATACATCGATCTGTTCCACGTAGCGCGCCGCCTAGAGGCCTGAAGCACTTCCGGAATGTTTTTTTTTTGTAATGTCTTTTTTTTTTGTAATGTGTTTTTCGGTTGTATGTGCTTTTGACTTTGCATATCGTTTTTGTATTTGCAGCGTTTTTCTGTTGCGTTTGTTTTCGGGGTTTGTGTGTTGTAGGTTTAGCTTGCATCATTTCTGTAAATGCAGCGTTTTTCTGTTGTATGTGTTTTCAGGGTTTGTTGGTTTTTCATTTCATTATTTGCAGGTGTTTCCTGCTTATGTGTGTATTTTTGGCCGTTGTTTAGCGTTTGCACCTGCCGGCCACCGTAATTATGCTATATTGGAAAAAATATATTGTAGGGCCATACCTATACAAATATAGGTCTGTGAAGTTTTTTGCTTAAAATACCAAACAGATCACCCATTGTAGCCATGCCTCATACTGCTCATACCCCTCTTATGCAGCCCTGTTAGAGAAACGCAGATTTTGGGTCCTTAGCTTGAAAAAAAAAGAGGAGGCGGAGCTAATGCCTGATCAGAATTCTACCGGAGATAAAGTTACATTCTGTTGTAATAAAACGCCATCCTGTTCTTATCCACATCAAGGATTATCTCTGAAATAGTATGGATCTCAAATGCTTTTTCTCTTGCGGGTTTATCACAAGGTGAGTTCCTTTTTTGATTTCCTGCTTTTTAAACACATGTGCTCTCCAGTACAGGTTAGCTCTGAGTGTTAGCGAGTATTGCTAATGTAAACAAAGACGAGATTACCGCTGCCGATTTGACGTCAGATTGGCAGCAAATCTGTATCCGCTCGTTGTACCCCTGTTTTTAAAATATTTGGGTAGCCTACGGAGGAAAAGAGAGCGAGTTTTATTTTCTGACGCTGCGTGAGTTCCCCGACGCACCGAGGACACATATTTATGTATAAAAGACATCACAAAGTGCATTTTGCATGATAGGTCACCTTTAATGTATATTGTCTTGTGTCTGACGCATTCTGAGAATGAACGTGCATATATTTACTTGTGTGCGCGAGTGTCATGCGCATTTAAGTTAACCACAAGTTTACCATGACTTTCTAATGCTTCTAATGCCATTTTTGCCGAGGTTCAAGGCATTGGCTACAGACAAACAGTGCCATTTCTCCCACTAGTTCAAGCCATGATACTGTATGTATGTATTACATTACATTGCATTTAGCTGACGCTTTTATCTAAAGCGACTTACAATAAGTGCGTTCGACCAACAAAATACAACCTTGAAGAAAACAGAATCATATAAGTACATCAGGTTTCATAGAGCCAAAACATTTCAAGTGCTAGTCAACTGGCTTTAGATAAGCCAGTCCTTTATTAGTATATAAGTGCTTTGTTAGTAATTATATCGCTCGTATGTATGTATTGAATGTCTGTGTGTATACAGGGGCGCCGTTTACCGACAGGCAAGTGCTTGGACCAGAAGGGGGCCCCCAAATAAGGTAGATTAATCCAATCCAATCCAATCCAACTTTATTTATATAGCACTTTAAAACCTCCTGACCAAAGTACATGCATAGCGCGCCGAAATTGCTTATTAATTTCAGTTTCGTTGTTCCGCTCCGGGAATGTGGGGGGGGGGACTTTACTGGCATTGATCCGGACCATTGACCTTGTATAAAATTCAGTAGTGGACCTTTAACAAAAAAGTTTGAGTACCCCTGATGAGGCTATACCTATGGTATATACGTGTGTGTTTGTGTATTTTTGCGTTTGTGTGTATTGTGTTTGTCTCCCGGGGAAAACACTCACGAGAAACACCGGCTGTTGTTGGCTGAATTTGCCGAAACAAGTTTAATATTCTGAAAGCCAAGACTTTGTTTATTTGAAACCAGATGAATGTCGTGTTATACTATAATACACGTGAGTTCAACTGTAACAATTATGTGTCTCTTTATTGGTAGCCCACATGCTAGAACACTCCTAGCTCACATGCTCCGTTACCATAACATGTCGTCTTCCTATGATGTCAATGAACCGTGCCCGTAAGGCTTCACTCCTATTGGCTAACACACACAAATATACAATAACACCACATCTCCCTTTTTATGAATCAATGGGTAGACTGCCATTGACTCCACAGACCTTAGAGGATTATTCTGCCTCTGTAGGGTGGAAGGTCTGTTCCTATCTGAAGCAGATATAAAATAACAACAACAAAACAGAACACTCACCGACGAACAAGTCATGACAAAAGACGAAGCGACAAAGACAGACAGAAAAACCAGAACTTAAATACACACAAGACTAATCACAGAAACAAGACACAGGTGAGGAGGGAGGAGAAAACACAGGGACACCAGGTGAACACAATCGGGTAAATTAGACACACCAGGGAAACTAACGACAGGGAACCACAGACAGATTTAAACAAGACACAACGCAGACAGAAACAGGCAAGACAGGAGGTGAAGACCTTTCAAAATAAAACATGAAACAAGACAAGACAAAATACAATACAGGCAGATCGTGACAGTACCCCCTCCCCCCCCCCTCAAGGGACGGATCCCAAAAAAACCCCACAAAAGTCCAAAACCTCAAGCAGGGTGGGTGGAGGGGGTCCGGAGGAGGGACGTATCACTAGGCCACCAGGGTGGGTGGAGGGGGTCAGCAGGACAGGACTGAGCTGACCGCCCAGAGGCACAGCAGAGGACCAGGAAGGGATCTCGGGTGGACGGCCCGGGGGCAAGGCAGAGTTCAAAAAGGGGGATTCGGGCGGACGGCCCGGGGGCAAGGCAGAGTCTAAGGTGAGGGACTCGGGCGGCCGAGCATGAGGGCGAAGGCAGCGGCAGGAAGAGTCAGGGGGCCGGGCTCGCGGGCGAAGACCACGGCTCACAGAGGGCCGGGATCGAGGGCGAAGACCGCGGCTCTCAGGGGGCCGGGCTCGAGGGCGAAGACCACGGCTCACAGAGGGCCGGGATCGAGGGCGAAGACCGCGGCTCTCAGGGGGCCGGGCTCGAGGGCGAAGACCAGAGAGCTCCGGAGGCTGGGCAGGAAGGGGCTGACGGGCCAGCGCCGGAGGCCGGGCAGGACCCGTGTCGGCCGGACAGGAACCGGAGCTGGTGGGACAGGCCTCGGCAGGTTCCCCCACGGAAGAGGACCAGGACACGGGATTGGCAGGACCCCCGGCGAGACAGAGGATGGCGGGGCCTCCAACGGAACAGGACAAGGGGTTGGTAGGACCCCCGGCAGGAGAGTAGTCGGCGGGGCCTCCAATGGCACAGGACAAAGGGTTGGCAGGACCCCCGGCAGGAGAGTAGTCGGCGGGGCCTCCAACGGCACAGGACAAAGGGTTGGCAGGACCCCCGGCAGGAGAGTAGACGGCGGGACCTCCAACGAGACAGGACAAAGGGTTGGCAGGACTCTCGGCAGGAGAGTAGACGGCGGGACCTCTAACGGGACAGGACAAAGGGTTGGCAGGACCCCGGCAGGAGAGTAGTCGGCGGGGCCTCCAACGGCACAGGACAAAGGGTTGGCAGGACCCCCGGCAGGAGAGTAGTCGGCGGGACCTCCAACGAGACAGGACAAGGAGCTGGCAGGACCCCCGGCAGGAGAGTAGACGGCGGGACCTCCAACGGGACAGACATACGATTGGTAGGACCCCCGGCAGAGGAGTAGTCGACGGGGCCTCCAACGGGACAGGACATGGAGTTGGCAGGACCCCCAGCGGAACCTCCAACGGACCAGGACATTGGGTAGGGACTTGAGACGTGACTCGAGAGGAGACTCGAGAGGGGAACTAGAGAGGGGACTAGAAGAGAGATTAGAGGAGGAACTAGAGGAGGGACTAAAGGAGGGACTAGAGAAGGGAACTCGAGAGGGGACTCGCGAGGGGGACTAAAGGAGGGACTAAAGGAGGGAACTAAAGGAGGGACTAGAGGAGGGAACTGGAGAGGGGACTCGAGAGGGGACTCGAGTAGGAACTAGAGGAGGGAACTGGAGAGGGGACTCGAGAAGGGACTCGAGAGGGGACTCGAGAGGAGACTGGAGAGGGGACTCGAGAGGAGACTGGAGAGGGAACTCGAGAGGAGACTGGAGAGGGAACTCGAGAGGAGACTGGAGAGGGAACTCGAGAGGAGACTGGAGAGGGGACTCGAGAGGGGACTCGAGAGGAGACTGGAGAGGGGACTGGAGAGGGGACTCGAGAGGGGACCTGAGAGGGAACTCGAGAGGGGACTCGGGTAGGAACTGGAGAGGGGACTCGGGTAGGAACTTGAGAGGGGACTCGGGTAGGAACTTGAGAGGGGACTCGGGAGGGAACTTGAGAGGGGACTTGAGAGGGAACTTCTGTCGGTCGGTACGCCGACAAGACTCGGGGAACTGGTGTTGGCTGGAGAGCCAACAGGAGACGAGGTGCTGGAGTCGGCCGGTACGCCGACAAGACTCGGGGAGCTGGCGTCGGCTGGGGAGCCAGCAGGAGACGAGGTAATGGAGTCGGGACCATGACTGCTGGAGCCGGTACTTGAGCCGGAACCATGGCTGGAACTGGGGCCGGAACCATGGCTGTATGGGCCAGCTCTGGTGCAGGGACCACTGTTGTAAGATCCAGTTCTGGAGCCGGAAACATGGCTGTAAGGTCCGGAGCTGAAGCCTGGATCATGGCTGTGTGGGCCGGTTTTGGAGCCGGAACCATGGCTGCTGGGAAAGGAACCGGAACACGGATCCATGGCTATGTGGGGTGGTACTGGAGCACGGTACCATGGCTATGTGGGATGGTACTGGAGCACGGAACTATGGCTGCTTGGTCCGGCACTGGAGCCGGAACCATGGCTGCTGGGGCTCGGGCTGCTAGCCTGGCCTTGCGACGACTCCTCTTAGCAGCCTCCTGAATACTCGGTGGACCTCCATAAGCCTGACGAGTTCCGGAATACGACTCCTGGACAGGAGCAGGAACTGGGGCAGAAGCCTTGGTTGACTTCAGGCGGAACCCACCAAGGCGTATGGTGCCA